GCTGAACCCCCATTACCTGAGTGTCAACCCAACACTGTAACCTGACCGGTGCCGGCGTGACTGCTGCTCTGCGGTACGAAACCAAAGCCCATCCCAGCCCTGAACTGCAGCCAGAGCCTGGCAGGGTTCAGTAAGCACGGCTGGGGCAGGAGGAGCCATGAAAACACGGTGGGATGGAAATGGGGAGAGGAAGGTCAGAGCCAAGCCCAGCTCAGAGAGGGAACATGCCCAGCTGCCTGGTAAACAAACACGTCTTTTATTATTGACTCAAAGGAGGGGCTCTCCAGGGCTCCACGCTACAAAACCACACAGTTTTAATGTCTGGATGGCCCCTCTTCTACGGAGAGTCTCTGGCTGCTGTGGCTGGAGAGGATTTATGCTGGCAATCACTTGCATTTTCATCTGTGAAATGGAGTAGACTGTGCTGAGTGTGAGGGATTTAATTTAAAAAAACCTGCGGCAAGACCTTACAGAGACATCACCACCAATGGGTTTACCCCTGTTCCTTCTGCCGGTTCCTCCATTATTAAATATATTTATTATGTCCTTTTGCCTCAAAAAACCAAGAATCCTCCTTTCTCCTGAAGAAATGAAATGCAAGAGAGACGTTTTTGTGGTCATGGACTGTGTCTTTGGTGATTGGTACTGAGCTCAGCCTCCTGCTAAGCATCAAACAAACACCACACATAGTGGAATTTCTCACACAGGTCAAACATTTCATATGTCCCTGGTATTAAAGCAAAACGACTTTTTTACTAGCATCACTAACAGAGGGCCCACTTAGGAGATATACTGACACACCTCCATTTTCATAGAGGAGATGAAAGGTCTGAAATAAAAAACCCCGAGGGTGAACTGGAAATATTTCTGCCTCGGGTCTAGTAAATTTTTAATATGAACATAAAGTTCAGTGTTAGATTCTGCCCTTTTCTAAAAGCAGCATTTTATATTAGCACCATAAAGGGAGAGAAAACAAGAAAAGAGAGCTCAAAAAGGAAGCCTCAGATTGGCCCAGCATGTACAACACTTGTGGTCAAACAGCACTCTTGGGATACAGGCCTGGAAGAACTGCTAGATAACCTTAAAGCAGAAAATATTTCCATTTAGGTTTTTCTGGGAAGGGACAGAGCCCCTTTCCCCATCTCCTGCAATAACACCAGTTCTGGTTTTCCTTCCCTTCCTACTCCTGGTCATGTCTCACCCACCTGTCCTGGCCCTGGGCAGAGGTGAGGACTCACAACATCTCAGAAATGCCTGGCAACAGACTATTTCTCAAGAAGCACGTACATCTTTTCATGTTTGTTTCAGTCCACTTCAGAAGGAAAGTAGGCATTTTTCAAATATATTAGCAGTGGAATTGTCTCTTCTTCATTTTGGAAAACTTTTAATTTATTTTTTTTCCTTCCAATTTTGGCTTAGAATTTTATATCACTTTGTATCCTTGTTTTATATGTAACAGTAGTTCACAATATTTTGACTAATATCAGCATGTCAAAAAAAGCAGCTGAAATAGTCTTTTGTTTTTATTTTAAAAACTACTCTGACAGTGACTGGCTGGCACATACAATTTCCTTTATTAGAAAGCAGTATCTCCTGGACCTGCTGGTAATGCCACAGCTTGACACAATTGCACATGTTGTTAATAACAGCAATACACAGTGATAGGAAGTGATGCAAAAAATCATAAAAATAAATACAGCTCTGAAACGAACTTTGAGAAGTTTTTCAATTCACAGTTATTTCCCTCCTGGGAAATTAAGTAAAAATAAATATATTTTTCATACTCAATGTCTATTGTGGTGAGACATTTCCTATCAGATCAGAATGGGAATCCCAGAAGGCGGCTGAGCTCGATGTTCTGTAGAGCCAGTCGTGGGCTGCCTTCTCTATGAGCTGCCAAGCTCTGCCCAGAGCCTTCTCTATGAGCTGCTCAAAGCCCAGCTGCCCTGGAGAGCAGGCTGTCCCCAGCAGCAAGAAGGAAAACTCAGTGAAGCTTTCCAAATGCCCTAGCTCAATGTATAACCTTCCTCTTCCTCTCACAGTGCCCCTAGTCTGGGCTTATGGAGACGAAGCTGCAGCAATGACTTCTCTTCCCTCTTCTGCAAGCACACGCCTTGGCATAATGTTATTTGTGAAGATGAGTTCCCCCTGCTCCCTATTTCTGTTTGTTTCATAGACAGTACCTGACTATCCCTATCCAATGCTGAGTCAAACTGCCACGGGGTGAAGCCAGTAAGCAGAGATATTCCACATTTATTAGCCATCTCCCACTTTCCACACAGTCGATGAACGAAAAGTGTCCCCCCTCTCCATTTCACCCATGTTTATTGTAGGTTAAACCTCAGTGTAAAAGATCTCAGGCATCTTTTCCTCAGAAACATCACTTCTGCTTATCTACTTTCCTGCTTCCTCCTGGAAGAGCTTCACCAAGGTCATCCAGGAACTGGTTTCCTCCAGGCGTCTTTGTGTGTCTGACATGCACTGAGTTTCAGTTACATCCCTAATTACTTCTATAAAGAACTTAAACTATAAAAACCTGACTCTTCTCTCCAAGAAATTTAGACCATGTGACCTGTCTTCCTAAACTATACCTATCCAATTTTCCCTGCATCTCAGCTCATGTGAGAACTATGTCTTGCTGTGGAGAAACATAGGTTCTCATGGGAGCAATCCCGATCCCAGGTTCAGCACCTGATGCCTGAGGTAATCCATTCCCTCCCATGAAAGTCATACCTTTGGTAAGGTTAAATGTCATCCAGCTTTGGTTTTGGAACAGAAATTTTGTCTTTGAGCAGTACTGGACATCCCTCTGAGAGGAGCACATGGGATATTCCCTGAAGAAGAGCCTTGCCTGCTCTCAGGCAGCACTGTCCTTTGAACTTCTGCAAACACAAAGGCTTTTAAACTCTTGGATTAAAATAGCACTTCAACACTGGAATTTGCTCCAGTGAAATGTTTGCAAGGAGCAATCATAGCCTTTTCAGCTTTTGGGAAGCAAGACAAAATAATTAAAAATAAAAGAGGAGGAGAAAACACTCTTCTAGCTTCCTGTTATGGAAGCTCCTTACTCCCTGATCACCCCAGATTTCTTTATCTTTCTCTGAACTTCCTCCAGTTTGCATTCTTTGGTTTTGAACTGGTGATCAAATGTGAAAATAAATTATGTTTCCCTATAAAATGTGGGGTTTATATCTAGGAAGATCTGAGTTTCTTAAACACTAGGTTGAAGGGGGTGGGCTGAACATTTCCCTGGTAAAACACACGCAAAGCACAAAACTTTCCTAATATAGCAACAAAATCTTTTTGATAATCAGAACAGCTACTGCTTTTCAAGTGGGGATTTCCCGAGTGGACAGTGGCTCACAGACAAACCTGTGCTCCCTCATCTGCAAAGCCAAGATGGAGAAAAGAGACGTCAGGCTGGCAGAGACCCTTCCCTGGGAGCAATCACTACCTCCCCTCCTGGGACTATCAGAGCAGCAAACGGATGCCCCTGTCCTAACACCAGGGCTCAGAGTCTGCCCTGTGCCAGGAAGGGGAAATAGCAGTACAATTGCAAAAATAAACCCCTGGGAAAAAGCTATTCAGTCTTCTGAGCTCAGAGAGGCTGGAAAATAATTTCATGTCAAAACACAAGTAGGGCAATAATCTCTGCATTCATCAAATACAGGGAGGAACACCCTGAAAGGAAAGGCTTGAGACTTTCCCTCTTCACCATGTCTGCATCCCTGGATCCCTGACCAGGGATTGCACAATGGGCCTGGGAGTGGAGCGATAAGTCACAAGATTTGTTTCAGTGGCTCTTGCTGCAAAGCCTGATGGAAGACGCACCCTAAGAGGCTGAAAAGCGATATGACAGTAGCCTTGCTACAGGACTTCTTCCAAGCATTCATCTCTTCAGAGATTTCTGCTGCAAAGTCCAGTGAGAATTATGATGCAGAGGATGGTTGTTGACTATCTTCACACATTTATTTGGATGCCACATGGAGCTCACATGGAAGAATTACAAAAGATCCTCCTCCACAGTTAGTGTTGCCCTCAGCAGCCTTTCCAGTGGTCTCAGGGTGCATCTCTGTAAATTTGCCCTTCTTCCTGCATCTCATTGAAGAGAATATCTGGGCTACTGCCATCATAAAACAGAATCATACAATTGTTTAGGTTGGAAAAGACCTCTAAAATCAGCAAATCCAGCAGTTAACCCAGCACTGCCAACTCCGCTATTAAACCACATCACTGAGTGCCAAATCTCCACTTCTTAATACCTCCAAGGATGGTGACTCCACTGCTGCCATGAGTAGCCTGTTCCAATGCTTGACAATCCTTTCTGAAAAGAAATTTCCCCGAATATACAATCTAAACCTGCTCTGGTGCATCTTGAGGCCATTTCATCTCATCCTGTCACTTGTTACCTGGGAGAAGAGACTGACCCTCACGTCACTACAATTTCCTTTCCTGGTTGTTGTAGAGAGCAATAAGGTCCCCTCTGAGCCTCCTTTTCTCCAACCTAAACAGCCCCAGCTTCATCAGCTGCTCCTTGTGTTCCAATCCCTTCACCAGCTTCAGTGCCCTTCTCTGGACACACTCCAGCAGCTCAATTTCTTTTTTGCTGTGAGGGGCTCAAAACTGAAGACAGAATTTGAGGTGCATCAGTACATTTCATCATGAAAAGACTGCATCACACCATTCCCTGTTCATTGCTCATCCTCACGCTACCATAAAAGATTCTTGTAAGAAACCATCAGAACTCAACTTCCCCAGAGCAATCGGGTGCATAAACTTTGCAGCCTGTTCTGTTCCAGATGTGCCCCCGTTCACTGGCACACAATCTGCAGCACTCCTCCAAGGGAGTATGAAATGCAGGAAAAGGAAAGAAAGTGTGTCTTCCCCCACCTGCTCTATGGGTACAGGACATGCTCCCAAACATGATATCAAGGACTCACACGTGTGCTGTATTTCTTACCTCGTCACCCATGACAATGGTATTATCAGACCACACTCACCTTTCAACTTCTTCTTTCCAAATTTTAATTCAAATAGAGACATCCCAAAACTTTATTTTAGTCCAACTCCATGGAACTTCTGCAAGAAAAAAGAGAAGGCAACTCACAACACATACTGTAGCACATACATGTAATTCTGTGACTGTAAAATGGGGGAAACAAACTCCTAGTCACCATGGCCAACAGCTACAGTTTATCATCTAGAATGTTTTAAATGCAAAACAATCTTAGGTTTTCAGGTTGCACGACATCAGTGTGGGCTACCTTACCTTGGGCATGTTGATTAATTCATCTTCTGACATGGCACAAAGAAAAGGCTGGTGTAGGAGAGACTGAAAAGGACATTCCCACTACGTTGGTGCTATATGAAAAGGAGAAAAAGCACTGGGTTTGCATTTAAGGTACAGACGAACTGTATGACTACCCAGAGCAAGACCAGCCTCCCTAAAGAGAAGGAAGCAACGGGAAGCACTGGTTTCCTGTACATCCGCCTGTGTTCAACATGTGCTGGCTCACACTGTTGTCCACTGCTGGTTACTCTCTGTGTTGGGGTGGACTAGAATAAAATTTCTCTCCCACTGTCTTCAAACTACTTGCCCCAGAAGCCTAAAGCCAGGCACCAAAACTGCATATAAGTCACTGAATATATCCTGACAGGCAGAGGAATTGAGCATTAAAAAAAATCACACCAAAACCTGTTGGTAATGGAAGTTTCAGTGTTCCAATCATCATACAAGTTTATTTAAAGGACTTGAAGGTGATATTGGTGCTGACAGCCTAGAGGATCTGTGAACATGAGAAAAGCCAGCATTGCCTGGCATGCCTGGCTGACCAGGAGCCTGAATCAATAGGAACACCGTGCCAGTTGCTTAAGTGGTCAGTGAGCCAAGCTGAGACATTTGAGGGAGTCACAATCTATCTAGAACAAGTTTTCTAGGTGACAGATGTAGCTTTTGCACTTTATCCTATGCTATCTGTGCTGACCAAGGGCTCCTAAGGAGACAGATATAGCAAATACATAATATTTTGGAAACATGCACATGCCACTGCCCAAATGCAAGCCTGATACAACATCACCAGTGCAAGACTGGGCTGATTCACGTCTTTTCAGAAAATAAAGGTAAAGTTTAAAGAAGACTCTACAATCCTTGCACAGGTCAAATATCTGCCCAGATATCTACTTCAGATCCTAAAACAATTTTATTGTTATTTTTAACTATTTAGCAGCTGCAATTCAGTGAGTCTGAGACAAGGCAAACAGCAGCAGGTAAGCTTCACCCAGCCAGATAAGTGCTGCACACCCTGAGTGCAGAGCACCTTGACACTCACTGTGGGGTTTGGGAGCCCTTCCGTGCCCATTCTTCTTGGAAGAGATCATTTTTTTATTTACTCATCCAATTGTTTCTGCTCACCACAACAAATGCTTTGCCAACACCTGTCCCTAAAATTTCTCTGCCCATGGAGCTAAACCACTTAAAGTTACAATATATGTCACAACCTAAAGCTTTCTCAACACTGCTGACCAAACTTACTTTCCATCCCTGACCTCAGTCTATTATTTTCAACATATTTCTTTCATGTTTTAGAATTCCTATTAAGTCTTACAAAACCCTACTACACTAGGACAGATAGTTCCGCATAAGATAGAGGACTGAGACACACCACCCACACACACAGAGGTAAAGACCTCAGATTTCCTAAAGCACTACGAGCCACAGATCTGCTAATCACTGTTCACTGGCAGCACCAGGATGCAAAAGGTCGACAGATTGCAATCATCATATGGATGACTACATGATCCATATGAACTCTGGATTTTGCTGTATTTGTCAAACATTTTAGAAAAACAATAATCATTGTTCACTGGAAGCAGAAGGATACAAAAGGTTGACAGGCTGTAATCATCATATTGATGATTACATGATCCATATGAACTCTGGATTTTGCTGTATTTGCCAAAAATTTAGAAAAACAATCCCCAGCTACCAAACCTCTCCCAACTGCGTACTCAATTGACAAGGCATATAATTTCAGCAGAAGGGAAAAAAGAAGTTTTATATTTGTGGGGGAACAGAGAAGAGAGGGTGGTTGTAAGCCTTCTTTCAGCAATAACAGCATGAAACAAACAATAGACTTTCACGTCTCCCAAACAAAAACTTGAAACTTCCTTCAGCTTTTGTTAATTAATGTGATTCTTTGAACCCTGGTTTCTGGTGGGATTGCAGCATGACAAGAAGATTGAAACAATACACTGTTCGGGATGGAGGGCACCTTTAGTTCCCACAGCTTCTCAGTCCATTTGATTAGAATTGCATCCACTGAACATCTTCACCCAGCAGCAAATTTAAGTTACCACCAAATATCCTTACAGGCCAGCACTAATATCCTTACAGGCTCACCATTCCCACAAAACTTTGCCTTTTAGGGCAGACACAGGGTGATAGCTTTGCCATATACATTTGTACCAATTACCTCTCTGGTACGGCATTTCCACCACACAGACTTGGCACAGCTGCTTACTTACTTAGATCCTAGGAGTTATGAATCCTTCCCAAGCTGACCCGGTCCTTTATGCAAAGCTCAATTCCTGGCTTGCCCAAACCACAGTGTTATTTGACAATGTGTCAGTCAGTATTCAATGGGCACACAGACGATGGCATTAAGGGCTGGACACACCCCTATTGCATTGAGGTGTACCCTTTATTTTCATAATATTGCAAATATCTGCCTTTGCTGCTTTGTTATTGACTCACACATCTAATCCCCATACTTCTTTACCTAGGCAAGCTACTCTCATGCTGGCTTTAGCTTCTGTGTGTGGCTGCCTGCTCACACTCCCCTCGGTGACAGGACACCACCACACTTCCGTCTGTTTTCAGTGTGAGAGTTCACTGACCACCGGCTGCAAGTGTGAAAACACACACACACGTAATGCTTGAGTTGTCCCCTGTGGTGGTGCAGCAGGTACTGTTCCCCTTCTTCTTAGTTAGCACAACCTTTGCAGATAGGTGTTGTCTCTTGGCTGACCTTAGCTCTTCCGGCCCCGGAGTCCTAGGTCTTTTTCTTGGGGTATTTTGGACTCTCAATTCTACTTGCAAGGTCCAACACCTTTGCCCCTGCACTTACCAATAAATTACCTCAGGGTATTTTTTTGTCCATCACAGATTTCACTTGTAATCAAAATTCATGCCCCTGTTCAGTTTTCTTTACTTATCTGTTTTTTAAATCTGAGATTCAGTTTCCCTTCCAAAATCACCATGATGGATCATCAGCCTCATATCACTCACGTCAATTTTTAATTACAGTTTTAATTTCTCTTTGCACTTTCTGAGAAAAAAATTCTCTCACATTTCATTTGTTGTGTGGCATGAAGTGCTTCTTAAATTTTGGTAAGACACTTTGACAGCCTTCTTTTCCTGAATTAATTAAAAACCCATAAAACACATGAAAACTTTCTGTAGTCAGAAAAAAGGCAATTTCCTGTTTGTCTTAAGTTTTCCCTGGCACCAGCTATTTTCAGAGGCAAAGTGAAGAACTGCTTCAGTATCCTGAAGTTGCTTTCCACAGTCTGTGCCAGACCTTCTGGACTTCTTGTTGTTGTTGTTCCATTTTCCATTTCATTATTTTTGGATTTTCTTCATTTTTGTTTACTTCAGGTACTCTGCACTACTCAGTAATCAACTGGGCCCATAGAATTTGGTCCAACCCCTCATCTTAACAGGAAACTTGTTCCTTCCCCATGTTTTCAGAAATTAAAGTTCATGTTAGCAGAAATTAAAGTTCAAATTCGCAGTTCCTCTTTTATGGAGATTTGGGGGTATAAGCTATGAATAAATTATCTCTTCTTACTAGAGAACACTTTTGCACCTACGGGGCTCCATAAACTGTCTATCAATGGCTTACACTTCTGCAAAGACAATCCACCTGCTTTATGGCTACTGACAGTTTAATCATGGGCTCAGAGCACTTTTATATCCACAGCACCTCTCTGTGAAGACAGGCTGCAAGAACTGGGGTCGGTCAGCCTAGAGAAGGGAAGGCTCTGGGGAGATCTTAGAGCACCTTCTAATACTTAAAGGGGCTACAAAAGAGCTGGAGAGGGACTTTTTACAAGGGCATGTGGTGACAGGACAAACGTAATGGCTTCAAACTGGAAGAGAGTAGGTTTAAATTAGATATTAGGAAGTAATTCTTTACTGTGAGGGTGAGGCCCTGGCACAAGTTGCCCAGAGAAGCTGTGGCTGCCCCAACCCTGGAAGTGTTCAAGGCCAGGTTGGATGGGGCTTTGAGCAACTTGGTCTAGTAGAAAGTGTCCATGGCAAAGGGGTTGGAATTACGCGATCTTTAAGGTCCCTTCCAACCCAAGCCATTCCAAGAATCTAAGATTTGGCTTGAGAACACAACTGCAAAGCTCCTCCTGCATGAGGGGCAAGTTGCAATGAGCCACGATGTGTGGAATTTGCAATGGCTATACTGCAAACTGGAGACAGAGGGAGGCCCTTCCCACCATTACAATCACGAGTAGCAAAATGAGAGAAGACATGGCAAATTTGGATGAATGGAGAGCAGATGTTGCAGGTGGAAAGCACAGCTCATTTCTTGGCCCCATTTCTCTGGACAAAGCTATATGATATGTCAGATTCAATGATAAATACAAATCAGAATATACTTGATGCTTTTGCTCCCATCACCTCATTCACAGACTCTGTGAAATGATCCATGTTAAATACAATCATTTTTGGAAGGGTTATTTTAATCCAGATCATGGGGTGTAGTTCAGTACAGACTGAAATTCCTGCCCAAGCACTGGTCGTATCAGATTTGAGAGGGCAGCAAATTGGGCTATAGTACTAAAAGCAAGAACACAGAGAGGAGGAGAATGTCAGATTTCTCCAGTCAGTTTTGCCACCAAACATCCTGTGGTATATGTACACCCTAAAACATTTAAACAACCCTGTCCAGGTACAAATTCAGAGAGCACACCATGCCTCCACTCCCCTTTACATGTCAGGTCAGTTTTTGCACACAAGGAAGATTTGTAAGTTAAATTTTTTTGTAGATCTATGTTCAGCTGGTGTA